CGGGTACACAGTTATCGGGCCTGTTCCTTTATGTGGTGTCACAGCTACCTCCTCCACCTCCTTCTCGTCTAATTACCTCCATCTGCCTCTCCTCTGGTTGCCATGGTTACCACCTCACTTTACCTAGTTACTGTAGTGAGGAACAGATGATAAAACCTCCCGCATGCATAAATTGATGCACCTCTTTCTTTTCTCTATCTGATCACAGTGATCACTGAGCTTTCTTTTGTTAGCCTGATCAATAAACCGTCGGTGACGTCATCCTGTTTCCTGTCTGTGCGGGAAGTAGGTGAGGAAAAAACTGCTGATCAGCCAACTTGCTGCCTGGATTTTGTTTCTCTCCAGCCCGCTCTCCTCTTTCGCTCCGCAGCGATGCTCTCACGGGGCCTGGCCGGCCTCGGTCCTTCTGCGGTGTGGTAGTAGCTACATCGGTGGTTCGGTGTAGTTCGCATCTCTCCGTCATGGTCCAGAAATCCCGGAATGGCGGGATGTTCCCCGGAGCGCAGGCTGACCAGAAAAAGCTGAAGGTCGGCTTCGTGGGTCTGGAGGCCGGGGGGACCGAGTCCAACAAGGACGGAGCTCTGCTCATAGCAGGTAGACACCCTAGAACAGCTGGGGGCCAATTAGCCCACCGGACTTCGTTAACGGGGAGATGGTAGGAGACTGGAAAATAGGCCAGTGGGTCTGTGTGTTTTTTGTCGGCACATGTGTGTTTGTGTGTGACCACCATCGCGCACTTTCACGTGGTAGAAGAGAGCAGGTGTTTCTGATGCACCGAATTAAACAAGCAGATCCGTAATAGCCCTAACCCCATTCCCCCACTGGAACCTAACCTCAACACTGGGGAGTGGAGGTGTGTGGCGAAAGACCCGTGTTCCTTCTGGTGTATTAAAAATAAAAACTTGCATTCACACCTGCAGGCTTGTCAAGATTTACTGTGGAGGTGGATGCTCGACTGCGATTGGTTGGTGGTTCCTGTTTCTGTGTAAGAGACGCTGAAATATGTAAAAAAAAAAAAGTTCTGCAGCAAGTTTGGTTTTAGTTCTTTATGTTCAGATTTGTATTCAAACCTTTAAAGTGTTTGTAACTGTTAGATCCCTGAAGTGGGTAAACAGCTTAAATGTCTAAGTTTAAGAGCCAGTTCAAGTGTTGATGCTGAAAACAGTTGAACTGTCAGCTGTGCACAGATACAAGTCCTTTTTAATTTGACATTTCAACAAATTTAAATTCTCACACATTTCAACTCTCAGTGAAAGATTGGGCACTGACAGAAGTTGAATTCTCAGCACCAACACAGTGGGGTTTTTTGGGTTTAAGAAAAATATAACTGAAAAGTATCAGTTGACCAACATAAACTTAGTCTGTTTTGATAATTAAATCATTTACATAATCTTTCAAGGCAAAAATAGAGGCAGTATCTTCAGCTCCTTTGTCCTTTTCTCAGTTTTCTATGACCATACACCGACTCTCCCTGAGCTTTGGACTGTTGGTTGAACAAGAACAAATTGAGAGAAATGCAGATTGAAAAAGAGGAGCTGAGAGCTGTGCAGAGGAAACTGAGACACAAGATCTGGGAGGGGAAGGAGGAGAATGGAGGGACAGCTGCAGCAGAACAAGGTCAGCCAAGTCCAGAAAGGTTTCAAAACCATCTCTGGCCACAAGTCCGACTCCCAGGCTGGAGGGGACCAGAAGAGGGTGAATGATCTCAATCTGTTTTTCCAATAGATTTGACTGTCCTTCTGCCCCTCCACCTAACAGTCATCCCTGCTGCAGCCCACCTCTTCTGGACTCCCAGTGAGCTGGTGTCTGCAGAATGGCCTCCGGATTAATGTAGGGAAGACCAAGGAGCTGGTGGTGGATTTCTGCAGACGCAGACAGGGTGTTGCCTGGTTAGACGGTCATAAAAAGTGCTATTGAAATAATTTTCTACATTGTCTGTTCATTTGTTGACCTCTGACTTACAACAGGACTTGCACTGATCCTGATCTGACCCCAGAAACACACGTACAAAATTACCCTACCCCAGGGGCTGACGCAAGTCAGTGTGTGTGAGTGAAGGTACAAACAGGATCAGTGTGGCTGCACTGTTGCACCTACAACAAATTAGCAAGCATGTCTCTCATCAGAAACTTTACAAACCAGTCAGTTGGTTAACGGAGAAAATAATCAGCAGGTTGATCTGTAATGAAAACTAGAGAAATGCATTTCCTGTCGAAAATGCGTGTGGATGCTGTGTGCTGAAGGATTGCCCTGAAAATGCTGAACATTTTGACACGTGAAAGGCATATTTACCTGAAAGTATGCTGAAGTAGAATTTCCCCTATTCATTTGTATGGGGCAAGATTTTCAAAATAAAGCTAAATATTTCAAAAGTATGAAGTTTAGAAAACTTCTGAATAGAAGCATGAATGTCCTTGAGGAGCTGAACATTTTGATACCTGAATGGCTTTGCTAGCTGAAAGTATGCCGAACTTATTAAAGATGTGGTAGTAGTCCAATAGGACCCCCACAAACTAGGTAAAACAGGTAGGTGTGAACGTGTGTGGGTGGGGGGGAGAGACAGACAACGAGAGGTGTTATGTTGGGGCATGTCCCAATTGCGCTGCATCTTATGAACCACAAGATGGCACTCCCAAGACTGTCATTGACTCAGCAATTTGAGCTCCCATTGACTTGTACTGCAAAATATAAAGCTGAATAGATTTAAAAAGTATAAATGTTATAAAAAAAAGTTGAGTACAAGCAGGGATGTCCTTGAGTTGAACAGATCAAGACCTCAATGGCCTGTATAGCTGAAAGTATGCTGGACTTATTAAGTGCCAAAAAAGAGTGGAATATCCCAGAATAATAATAAATAAAGAACAGGAGAGCATTACAGCATCCACACAATAATCAGCAGCTGCACTTGGATCCAAACTAGTTCAGCAGAGTTGCAGCTCAACCAGCTGCAACAGTTACATCCTGCTTTACATCAGTAGCCTGCTCCTACTTCTAATGGTTTAAGTACATTTGTGTGATAATACTTAATTTTACTTAACATTTTCAATGCAGGACTTTTACTTCTAACAGACTAGGCTACTTTTACAGTGTGATATTAATACTTTTAATCAAGTAAACAATGTGAACACTTCCTCTACTACTGGTGCTACCATGCAAACTAAAATGGTTTAGTTATACGCTTTTATAAATCATGCTTATAATTTTTTTGTTTAGGGTCTGTTTAGCTCAGCAGTCCAGCTCAACTGTCACAGTCACTTGCTATTAAAAAAACACGATTTGTTTTCATTTCTTTGAGGGGTGTTGTAATTGATAGTAACTGTGTAATACCATGAAACCGTGTTTTTTCCTGAGGGGGTTATCATACCATGATAAATCATTGTTTTGACTACAAACCATCATTAAACAGTTAATGCCCATTACAATTTTCCACAGTCCTTAATGTCTGTTTGTTCGAACCATGGCCCACAACTTAAAAAACGTTACTGTGATGTTAACACAAGGAAATACAGCAAATTAAAAGATAATCGACAATTATTGCAGCCCTACCATCAGCAAATATATTTGTGTTCAGGTGGGGAGGAAGGTCCTCGGCGGCAGCGCAGCAGTGTCTCTGGAGGAAAGAAACCTCCGAAACGAAATGCACTCTACAGACGGCTCCAAAACTTCCTGTACAACGTTTTGGAGAGACCTCGAGGATGGGCCTTCATCTACCACGCCTACGTGTAAGTACCTGTTCGCACACTGCACCTGGCTACACCCAGCCGCACATGGTTACCGATGTTACCTTTGTCTTTTGTTGACAGTGTATATGTTTTAGTCAAATGTTATTTTTATTTATTTATTGTGTGGCTGCTGTAAAGCATCCACACTATGCTCTTCTGTTCTTTATTGTGTGGATGCGAAGCAACCACACTGTTATCCTATTCTTTATTGTGTGTACGTGACGCGCCCACACTGTTATCCAATTCTTTATTGTGTGGATGCAAAGCACCCACACTGTTATCCTATTCTTTATTGTATGGGTGCTGAGTCAGCATCCATACTATGTTATCCCAGTCTTTATTATTATTATTGTATGGATGCTGATTCAGCATCC